TGCTAGGGTGGCTGACTGTGGAGACACCCTCCTGAATGGGTTCCACAAAAAAGATGGATATGACCATTCAGTTGAGAGTAGGGTGGTAGTATTCTGCTGATGTAGATGAGACATGGCCTCCAGAGGAGTTGAGCCATTGAAAATGCAGTTAACCCCTTCAATTGGGAGCCCTCATCCTACCGCAGTGTGGATGTTGGTACCCGATAGCCTGGTGTTGGACTCGGAGTGAAACAATCAACACAAGTCTTCATACAGGTTTTGGGTTGTCTGTCTTCCCTCAATTTCCTCCATCTGTGTTGTGGGTCACAGCGGTCATATGTGGGATTGTTCCAGTTCTGTCTTTGGCTATCCCTTGTTCTCTCTTCTTACAAGGATGTATTGCCATTTGGAGGGTCCTGGCCTCTTTCACAGTTAGGGAATTACTTTTATGCGATAGACATCCTTTCAATATCGGATGTCAAGATGTCAGATCTGACTCTCTCATCTATAGAGATATCCTTTGGATGCTTTCAGAGAGTTTGCCTGTTCTTCCCTCACACCGGTCTCTCCTCCTAATCAATGTGGGATTCAAGCTAGTCTTGTGAGTTGAGGGAAGTACCGTATCAAAAGTTATAATTTTCCTATGCAGAAAATGTATTTCTAATAGATACTTCCCACTTCCCACCCTTCCTTCCCACACACTTCTCGTGCTTCTGTTTTCTGCCAATTTTCAAAGTGATAGTTCGGTAGAAGCGCATAGAGGGAGTCACATGTATCACGTGAGTGTACTATGCTCCTATTGGTGGAAATATGATACATGATGATTTACATGAGTGACACATTGGAATTACTTGATTCCAATAGGTAAGAGCAGAAGACTTGTGGCATGCATAAATAAAAAGTTTTTATATAGGGGGCAGCAATGAACGAGAATAGCTGATCTTGTGAGAAGTGGGAAGTACCTGTCGGAAATACATTTTCAGAGGAAGGATACCAATATGAAAATAAAATAACAGCAAATATTTTGATGCAAGTTTTATTATATAACCATGTGATAAATTATAAATGTAAATGAACATAGTGATCTTAAATAAACAATAATAATATCAATAAAATCATGATTGCACGTTTTAATGCTATATTAACCATTTTATTAAGAAAACAGTACAAAAACATGATGTATAAGCTTGCTTGTATATCAGTATTAACTTCCTATCAGAGCAAGATGTATACTGAGAGTGAACCTAAACCTGGGACACAGTATAATTAATTAAATGTATTCTGATTCCATATGTACTTATAAAGCTTAACATGTATTGTTTCATCAGTGGGTTCCCCTGCTGTTAACAATATTTTCAGCCATAATCCTGATATCTTACAAAGTTCAGCCAAGTTAGGAGACTTAGGTTAGCCCTAAATATGTATATATATATTAAGCTAAAAATGCAAAACAATCTTTATAACAAAAGTGTAATAGTAAACAATAAGTCAGAGTAATGGCATTAGATACACTAAATAATATACCAATACTGTTAATGAAAGTAGCAATAAATACATTTTGTACTTTAAATACTATGGAAACATACTCCATGATTAATTATGTATAAATAGGTTTTGATTGCAATTATAACCATGAGGCTGAAGGAAAGAAATTGTTTTTGTCATAATTTCAGTGACTCTTGAAAAAAGACACTGCCCTAAAATTTTTGCCTTTTTCAAATATCCAAAGAACATAAAATGTCTATATGCTTATTGATCAGCAACATTTTCACCCATGTTATTTGGGTGAACAAATTTCATTATGAACCTATCTACAAAATGTAATTGATGAGAAATAACTGGTAATTATATGAGGAGAAAAGTCCACGTAGTAATGATTGTAATTTATATTAAAAGATATTTGGGTTTTTATTCTATTGTTATCAAGCTAAATTTTGTTAATAATCCTTACTGGATAGTTTACCATATGTTGCATACATAAATAGTATTCTGAAAACTGCTGTATTTTTGTTCCAGCTGAGTTGATGAGCTCTGGATTGAGCGAAACACGTCGTCGACAATGGATATAGTAAATGTAGTGTGGTTGGAATACTATTATTATTCACTCTGCTAACTCTTGAAAATCCTTGAGGAACTAGATAAAGAATGCAGTGCTAAAAAATCTATTAGGCCTAATACACTAATACTTATGTCTTCTGACAAGTATAACATAACATTTTAGGACAACTTGGGACCTCTAAACTAAAACTAATAATAAATATATTAAAGCCAGCCCTTATCATTCATATACTTATCAAGCTTTCTCTTAAACTCACTTAAATTTACTGTCTCCACAACATCTGAAAGCAACCCATTCCAAAGCCCAACCACCCTGTTGGAAAAATAAAACTGTCTTAGCTGAAGATGACTCCTACCTTGCCAAAATTTGTATTTGTGTCACCTAGTCCTATTATTCTCACTGTTAATTATGAAAAAAGATGATGCATAAACACTATCAATTCTCTTTACAATCTTAAAGACCACAATCAGATCCCCTTAACTCTTCTTTTTTCAAGAGAAAACAATTAGAGAGATTTCAACCTCTCCTTGTATGACAACCCTTCCATCCCAGGAACCATTCTAGTAACCCTTTCCAACTGTTCAATGTCTTTCCTAAGGTAAGGAGTCAAAGTGTGGCCTAACCAGTGACCGATACAAGTATAATTAATTATGGTCATGCTTTGCCAGCGTGGAAAGGCATTCACACTGTAACAGTTGTTGTAACAAATGGCATGTATAAATAGTGCTCCAACCACTGCTTTGTTTGTTGTTTCCCAGCTGGCCTGATGAGTTTTGGATTGAACAAAACTTGTCAATGGATATGGCAAATATAGTATGGTTGAAAAACTATTATTATACACTATTCTAATTCTTCATAATTCCTAAGGGACTAGATAAAGAATGTAATGTTAAAAAATATAGTAGGCCTTATATGTTAATGCTAATGTCTTATAACAAGTGTAATTAATTATACTACAATAAGTGTTAGCCCAAAATATTTAGCAGTGCTTATAAGATTAATAGTTCTAGAACGGAGAATATCCTAAAATGAATCTTGTACCGGTGTTGAAAGTGTTTTGGGAAAAAAAAAATACTGGTAATGTTTTTTTAGTTGCCATAGGCTGCTGCTATCAACCCAAACTCAAAATATAAATTACCTTTTTGTTAAAATTAGTTAGATAAAATGTTTTTATTTATTGGATTTAAAAATTAAAATACTAAACAAAAAATATGGAAAATAATGTTAGATGAATTAGTTATGAATTTTTTAAATTCACTTGTGCAATTTTGTCCTTGGGCAATAAGGGCCACATATAATTACTGAAAGATTAAACTAATATTTGGTAGACAGAGATGCTAGAAACTTCAGTGGCTGGATAATGGAGGTTTTACTGTTATACAATTTATGTGACACAGACAAATTTATGGGCAGGTTAACCAGCCTACATATGTGACAAAGTGGGATAACTGATGTATTGGAAATAATGTGATTGAATTCAGAACAAACAAGCACATATAATCTGGGCAAGTTATCCAGGTCTGCATACACAATGACACTTGAAACACCTACCTCACCCATTTTTCTGTCATACCTAGAAAAAAGGCTGCAGAGTTCTGGGTAGGTGGTCCAAGTCATTTTGTCCCCCAAACAGCTGTTTTGTCTTGTAGCAGTAAAACTTTGTATTAAAAAAAGTAACTATTCTTACCCCAGCAAAATAAAACAACATAGGTTACAAAGTGTTATAAATCTGAATATAAATAATTGGGCATTTTGATTTACAAATTGGTCGTTGTTGCACATATATTTATATATTAGGCTTATGATGGATTAATCTATCATTGATGTACAGGTTACCGAGCTTATAAAAATTTCATTGACAATAGATACCTAACAACCTCAAAGAAAAAATAATGGGTAACATTTTTTTTGTAAATTTTAATAATTAAGTGCAGAGTTGGACTTTACATACATTTCATGCAAGCAGAACTACACTAGTCCTGACTAGTACATATGGAATTCACAGTAGCCAAAACTCAAAATTTGGTAGTCCTGGGCATCAGACTAGTGAATTCTTATACTCGTGCAGCATACAATTTTGTCATTGCCTTGATAGAAATTCCTTATATACAGGGCATCTCAAATGCCAGTTCCCATAAGCTGAATGTGCATACAGGTTTGCAGAAGATGCTCAAAATGTCCACCCTCAAAAATCGATACAGTACTGAAGACGTGTGTTGCAGATAATCTCCACATATTCATCAGTGTTCAGAACAAAAAAAAAAAGATATGTTTATTTTTTGAAATGTTACAACGGAAACCAACTTTTGCGATTCTCTGTACATCTGCAAGTTTGTTGTAATTTTTGAATAAATATAACATTAATCCTTTGATTAAAAAAGTCATCCTTAACTGATAAAACAAGCTTGTAAATGGTGTTTAAACATGCATGGTGATGATTACAAACTTTAGAATTTAAGATGCATGTTTGTTCTTAGAGTTAGTTTCTATGTGTGATTTATTGAACGACTTATTAAAGAAGACAGTGGGTTTTGTTTACTTGTTTTCTTCTGCTCTTCATGGTGAACTTGTGGAGTAAAAAGTTAATGGGTGACGTTTTTGGATCACTTGATTTTTGTCTGCTATACATGTTTTTAAAGGGCATTTCACTGAAGAAAGTTTTACAATATCACTGCTGCCAGTGAAATGGACATTTCATTAATTTTGTAGCTAAGGGATTTGTGGTTATTACTGGACTAGACTATAATGGCAAACTGCAGGGAAATATTGCCTTGTTTCAGGTGTTAAGGTTTGCTGAAGTTAATGTTGCATGAATAAGTTTCTTTTTTTGTGTATAAGTAATGCCAAAAAAGGTGAAATTACATTACAAATAGATTTTTAGTTGTGCATCATAATATAGGCATGTACACTTTACAAATTACACTTGATTATTAATGAAGTGTTATGTTTTTTATTGTACAAGGGCTATGAGATATTGGGAACCATCCAAGTTCAAAGGAGCTACATATCTGGAAAGCTTGAAGAATATTGGGTTTAAATTGAACTTGAATGTAAGCCTAATATTTTATGTCGGTCATGTTAGGGTTTTTTTGATTGACCAATAACTTAGTAAAGGAGCAATAATTTTGTTTTTCTGTTCATTTTATTTTTGTAATAAGGTTTTTAAGTATATGCAAATCATACACTTTTAATAAGTTTAGTGTAAGCCATCTCAACTCAAGTAAATAATCAATGCTTTTATGAACAAAGAGTTGTACAGACTTCCTGTGATCATCAGAGCTTATTATTTTAATACCAGAGTATAAATGGTAAATATGAGTATTAATCATTATACTCTACTGTTTATTTTATGTTATTTCTGTTAAAGTATTGGATAGAATGTTTAATGTATCTAATTTTATTATAGAGATTGTTTTGCATTTTAATTTAGTATATGGATTTAGGACTAACCTAAATTTCCTAAATTGGCTAAATCTCATAAGATATTATTGGGTTTATGGCCAAAATTATTGTTAACAGTAATGGTACCCGACTGATGAAACAATGTATTTTAATCTTTATAAGTAAGAACTCAAGTATGTTTAATTAGATTACCAGATTGATTTTGAGTTCTTCTCCAAGTAGATAGCTTGCTCAGCTTGGAAGTTCATATTAATTTCAATACTAGGTGGTCTGATTCAAGATTTTAAATCATGTACAAGTGAGAAATCCTTTTCATTGGAAAGATTCAGCATTAAGCTATACATACCACATATAAGAATATTACTTTATTCTTGGCCAACAAACTAATGTATGTAATTTTTTCATGCTGTTTATTGTCATCAAGGTAATGTTAAGCATTATTCTATAGGTTTTTTAAATAAATCAAGCTACTTTAATATGTTTGTAATATTTGTTGTGAGGTGTAAGCTTTGAAACTTGTGTCATTTGCCAACATAGGTTTTGTTTTATTCTTCTGATTGAGTGTAACCTTAAAATGAGAATTGCATAGTAAGTTGGAAAATATATTAAATCGGCTCATGAATTATTTATATTATCCTTTTCGATGACGAGGAACCCACTTTGAGATTAATAATGGTTGGAGACGGCTTGAATGGGTAATGAAGAAAAACTTTAATGTAAGTTTAACACAACAGCAAATGTACAATGTTTCAACAAGGTTTTGTCATCATCAAAACCATGTGTTAAACTTATATTAAAGTTTTCGTCATTACCCATTCAAGCCATCTCCAACCATTACTGTATTATCCTTTATAATTCTTAACAAAAAAAAATTACCCAATATTCATATCTCTTAAATCTTAATCTTTTGCAATTTAATAATATAATGCATATTTAACAATTTGAATAAAAGTGTTGTTTTGTTCACTAATGGGAGTTTTTTTGTTTTACAAGATGTAATGATTGTGTAGAATCTAGAAGTTCCATGAAAGCTTAGGGCTCTGTGGAACCTCAATGCTTCCATTAGTATATATATATATATATAAAAACTGGTACAATATAAAAATGCTACACTGGATGAGATAGAATTAGTTAATCCTGCAGTATTAGTGTTTTAGTGAGTGAGACAGTAAGAGTTATTGTGTTTGTTATCGATTAATTAGTGAAAAAATTTTGCAAGTAAGTTATTGATCAAGTTTATATATGAGTTAGGCATACATTAGTTTTGTAGTATCTGTTGAAATGTCATTTGTGACGTTGACCTACCAGTGAACATAGCTTATATCCTGTATAAAATATTGAAGAAAGAAATTAATTTGTTATTGAAAAATGAACTGGATTTTTACATAATAATCCAAAAGCGATAGAACATGTTGTTATGTATTAGAATGAGACCAGTTCTTCGCCCATATATGAACCGCTTCACTAATTCTTACCATATGTATAATAATCCCTTTGTATTATATTTCATGGTTCAGTGCATAGAACTGATACCATCAAACACATCCACATTTTATTTATTCTATAACAGAACCAGGTCCAAAACACAAAATGGTAAGTTTTGATGCACAAAAATCTATATATTCAAATTCCAAAAGAAAAAGAAGCTTAAAACTTGCTATTGAACTAATTATCAAAGTCCTAAAATGCACAATTCCACACCCTCATCAAGCTTTCTAACCTTGTTTAACCTCACCACGAAGTTCTTTTTCAAATTCAGCAACATCACTTACTTTCAAATCAGTAGCATCTACATGGGTGGAAGACTAGCAAATACATGTTTTAAATTCAACTGAGAAAAAAAAGCCTTAAACACAGCCACCTGCAAACCTTTACAATTTTTGTTTTCTGTAGTTTCAGCTCTGTTGAAGAAAAACAAAGCTTCTCAAACTATATCAATGATAGCCACATCATAATAAAATAATCTGGATTTGAGACTAAAATTCTTATAGGAACAACAAACTCGGAACAATACCTTAATTAGAAATCCGTACACCCCCATACACTTTGAAGTGAATTATGCAAATAGCATTTAATGCTGTGCAAAATAAATTAGATTACAAACTGTAAAGAATTTCAGTAATCTTTATAAAATAAACATCATCAAACAAACAAAAAAATTCAAATCTGACAGATGAAACAACTTCAGCTTTATCACCATTATAATTGTTTATGTTGAATACGCCACAAAAACTTTAATTGGATTATGACTTGTGAAGAAACACAACATTGACATAAATTACATTATTGATAATAAACCAATGGAGTTATCTACAGAATGAAATGAGACTCTTGTAAACACTTTTATATCAGAGAAACCGGGTAAGAAATGAATATCAGATGTAAGAAGGAACACCTTAGAGAACCCTCACATCTTTCAACTTCTCAAAACCAAACATCATCAAAAAGAACTTTGAAATTATTGGAAGAGAAACAGACATCAAGGAGAAAATCAGGTAAAAACACTATAAGTAAAATCAAAGCCAACAGTAAATAAATATCCAGGAACTTCCCTTTATCTACATATTTTTTATCCACATCATTTTAATAATAATCTATTTCAATGCCGCTTACAAGCCTTGTCTTCACCATTACAAAATTTTGCTGGAATTAGTTTTCTGTTTATAAAATTTGAACTGTGTTTTCTTTTATGTTTAAAAAATAATTTTTTGTTCCAGGTGGCTGCTAGTACTTCAATAAATGATGTGAAACAGTTGGTGGCACAGCAGCTTGACATTCCTGTCGATCAACAGCGACTAGTGTTCAAAGGAAAGACTCTTTCAGGTACTGTGTTGTACAAATCTTCATAACCTATTTGTAAGATCAGTGAAGAATATATACACGTAAAGGAAAATTTGTCAATATCCTACAGGTGTTACCACAGTGTGATAGACTACTGTAATTTTAAGTGTGCACCAAAAATAGTTCTAATTTTGTGCTTAACATTAGTAGTATGAAAAATTTTTGGTCAGAGATTGAAGTAAGGATTTTGTTCTGTCTAGTAAAAATTTTTGAATTATAACACCTTTTTTTTTTTCTTGTACAAAAGTTTTTTAAGCAATGCACTCTGAATAGAAACTGGATATAGTTTCACATAAAGCTTCAACAATGAAATATTTACTATAATTATAAATATTTGTGCATTAGGCTTAAAGATTTCTTGGTTTTTATGTTAAACCAACAATGCACAGGAATTATCAAATATATATATATCACTACGTACAGCATATTGTAACTATATGTATGTAAGTATGATACATCCTGCTTTGTTTCCGTTATATTTAGAAAGTCAGTTACTTTTCATACAGTGGCTGCATTCTTTTGATATTGGAAAGATGAATAAAATATTGATTGTATTGCTAAAAATGAGCCATAATTGAGTTATTAGTACATTCAAGGGCTAATGATTTTGTAAAGTTATCTAATATCTTTAACACTTCATTTATAATGATTCATTAGAGGGAATGAACAATGTCACCGTAAAAAGCAAAACAAAAAAAACGTATAACCAGTCTCTAAAGTCACAGATATCAAAATATTTTTATGATAAAAAGAGTATAAGTTACTTAATTGAAACAAATGAGTCACAATCTTGCTTATTTTATACTGTATGTATGTTTATGGTATTGAAGACCGTTTCAACAAATCAACCTTCAGAATCTTGTGTACTGTTTACTTTACACTTTTCTTTTACACATGTCAGGGCTTGAAATTAATGCTAGCAAGTTGCAGGTTAGTGTTGTAAAATGTAGAAGACACTATAAAAATTTGTAGATTACGACTACCAAGTATCAATACACCTGATGCATGCATTTCAGTCATTTATACTGCAAGATTCTGAGTACTGAAGGTTACTATAATTGTGATTGACAACATTTAGTGCTTCACTTGCCAGTGTGGTACCAGTTTTACTATTCCCATTTGAGCTGCATGGCACACCTGGGCTAAGTATCAGGAAATGGTGATGGCAGAATTGCAGCTTTATCTTGTTTGCTTGCCAATGTAATTAGCAACTAGGCTATTTAGCTAGACTCGCAATATGCAGTTGGCAGCTTGGTTATAAATACTGTGTGCAAATGGATGCTTATTGGAGGTAATAATAGAATCGAAATTATGTAAACCACAGACCTTAATTTGTCAATGATTAGGAAAAATATTTTACCTGTTATTCTCTGATGCTTCACCAGCTTTATTTATTTAAACTATAACTTATTTTAATACAATATTTGCAGAAGAATGTTTTTATTTTTAAATAGTATACAATCTGTTTTTGGTGTTTATATTTATTAAACAGGTCATCTGAGTGCAAAGTTTTTGTGTATTTAAACAGATGGATCCAGTCTTTGTGACTACAACATTGTGGAGGGAAATAAATTACACCTATTTGTTAGAAAAGAAGAGAAAGATGCCAGTAGCATGAGCCAGTCAACTGTATTGTGGGATGAACTGGAAAATTTTCTTCTCAAACATTTTACCCCAAATGATGCAAAAAAAGTACTAATGGAGTTTAAGAAGGTGAGGTTCTGGTTCTGCAGTGTTGTTTGCTTAAGTACTTGCACTAAGGTTGTGGTGAATGAATGTCAGTTGTTGTACATCTATGTATATATATATATATATATATATATATATATTATTAT